GCTGCTGCAGAAATTTGTTTTTGCTCCGTCGGTCGTTACGACTCCCTAATATAATCTGGTTGATGCCATCACTCTTTAGCTCTCTTTATTAGTATCATCCTGCTGATGTGACCTTTGACCCCTAACCTCATGTGTAAAATGGAAAAGGAGGGAGCGCGAGAGCGAAAGCAGCTTTAAACGAGCCAATGTTTGGAGCCCTCGCTCCTCTCCATGTTTGAGACCTGTGAACGCGCCTCGCTTCATTTCATCCTCCCATTCTTCATTTTCTCAGCATTTGTCCCTTTCATCCCCCGTTTACCTTGGCCTCCTGTCCAACAGACCGGCCTTACGGTTACAGCAGAATGAGAACAGGAACATATGTTTAATTTCTAGTATGTTTTGCTTAACGCCTGAATGACTTTTTTATTTTGACGAGCGGCGGCTTTGATTAAGCCGAACGATCGCTCTCAGACCAGCACCGGGGGAAAACGGTCGAGTTTATTTCTGCTGCAGTTTCTCCTCTCAAGGTCTCAAATTTGGATTTTATTGACTGGTGTGTGTTAAATTGTGCTTTTCTGTCTGTATTTCTGCTTTTAGATTAATTACAGAATGCAATTTTTTCCTTGTTGCTGTGATATCGACCGTTTTTCACTGGCTGTGATTTGTGGTCTGTTGTCAGAGTATAAACATGCTTCTCATAGTTTATTCAGAGCAGCACCAAATCAATATTTTCATCTGAACAAAGGATTAAATGACTGTGTTTAATCCGAAAGCTGTCATTCGGAGTGGTTTAGCAGCCCACTCTTGTTTTCTATTAACTCTGGAGAGCAGTTTAGTGTCTTTCAGCCTGAAGTTTTGGTTTTCCGTCCACACGCTGAGCTGTTTTTATGTTACTCACGTTACGGCCTGCTCGGCATCAAAGAGGTAAAAATTAGACACAAGCTGGTGGAGAAAAACCAAACAGCAGTGAAAAGGTGGAGAAACTCCCTCCAAGAGTTTGTGGAGAACCCAGAGTCCCGAGTGTCTGACTATAGAGCTTCTACATATGATGTCATCGTTTGTCGTTGTTTAGGTTTGGCCCACGCTCTCTGATGGAAAAGGGTGGAGTGCCCACTCTGGGTGGAGGGGAGTGGAGCAGGCGACTGGCAGACTGATGGAGGCTGTGGTGAAGGTGAAGCTGTCTTTGCTGGTTGAGCTGCCCTTGCACATGGCCACGAGCTCTGGGTCCTGACCACAGGAGTGAGACCGAGGAGGGAAGCGGCCAAAACGAGCTTCACCTGAAGGGAGGCTGGGCTCAGAGCGGAGCCGCCACTCCTCCACGTGGAGGCGAGGATGCCTCGTGGATGTCTCCCAGGGGAGGAGGTTCAAGCGTGTCCAACCTGGAGGAGACTCCGGACACGCTGGGGAGATGATGTCTCGCGGCTGGCTTTGAAGAGGGAGGTGTGTCTGTGCTTAGACACCAGCGGGTACGAAAACAGATGGATGTGATGGATGGGGGTGGGGGTGAGGGGAGCAGTGTTATGGTTAGCTACGGCCCTGAGAACGGGGGAGGGGGGGTGTTGCGCAGCCCTCTCTTTAACGTGGCCTCGGCGATGAAGCTGTTACAGTCGGTGCACGCCGATCGACTCCTGTTGGAGGTTTAATGAGAAAATTCAGTTTCCTGTTGCCATGTTTTAGTCGGCGCCGCATATTTCCCAGAGTTCGAGTGTGACTTCTATCTGGAGCAGGTTTTCCATCAGCTGCGTTTGGTGGATTCCAGCGTTCACCTGCCACGCTCACTCGTCGGAGCGCCAAACTGATTTGGAGAGCAGAACTCGGCCTCCAGCAATAACTGGCGCCAGAGCCGAGCGTCTGGCAGAGCGGGCGAGTCTGCGGCCGCCGCCACAAAGTGCCAGGGTTTAGATAGCTGCTCGTGTTAATTTATCATCCCGCGCAGGGTCCAAATCACCAACCCCCCACCCCCACCCCCCAGCGCCGCTGATGAAGCCACACTCTTCCTGTTTCACTGTTCTGCAGCGGCTGCTGGTGAATGAACTGAGGGAAAAGGACAGTTTGATTTGGGTTTTATCATGTTGGACATCTCATTTCTGTAAACGGCGACCTGTTCTGATGTGAGGGTTGGAGCAGAGGGGTGGAGAGAGCAGCTGCAGCAGACTGATGGAGCAAACATCTCCAGCAAACACCTCCAGCAAACACATGCGAGCAGAATCTGTGTCGAGTTTTCAGGTAACCAATCAGAGTGCACCTCGACTCCTGGCGAAGTCTGAACCCTGAGCTGATGTAAACGTCATGTCTGTACAGAAGACCCGCTGTAACCGTATGATGTTGGTGGAAAGATGAAAATATTACTGTAGTTAATGTTTTTCTGAGTTGTTTGTTTTTTATGTGGTTTTTCATCTTCTTTGACTGCTTTAGTCTCTTCATCATCAACTTCTTTTGGTCTTCTTCTTCTTTGCTTCTTCATTACATCCAGACTTTGAGTAACATGAATGTTATGAAGTTTATACTTTGGAACAGAAGCTTTTAACAGAATGCTGAAGTGTGTGAAAAGCCTTATAACTTCTTCCATCTGAACTTTGGTCACTGGGTCTGAATCATGAAGCCAATAGGCTTTGAACCTGCTTTACTTGTATAGCACGACTTAACCGGCTCAGATCTGTGACCTCAGCAAACACTTTCCGATGAGTTTGCAGTCTCAGTTTCTAGTTTCAAGTCTGTTTGCAGTCAGAAGAAGACTAAAGAGAGGTAGGTGTGATTGATAAGTCCATTGGGCCCCTTCATTTGTCGTGGTGGATTCCAGAACATCGAGATGGTAAGACCCAAAACACTCCACGCTCTGCTGCAGGGTTTTGTGCTAATTAGCACGCTAAACCCATGCATTTTAACCTCTGAGCATGTTAGCATGCCGTTAGCCTGCAAACTCTATAGTAACCATGTGCAGAGAAACTGACTCGTCTTGAGATGCAGTGATAGTGACAGAAGCCTAAAGGTTGATGGTAGCGCTATAACTTCAACTGTGACTGTTTCCAAGACAAACACCAGAGACCAAACTCACTCCACTGTCTACGGTGCGTGAAGCATCATCTTCTTTAGAAATGTTTAATAATTAATAAGCGAACACGCCGCCTCATATTTGTTACCCAAACACCAGGTAGTGCCCGTGCCTCAGCGCCACATCGTCGGGCACCGACCATAAAGTCGAGCAGGAAGCGTGACGTTTAAGCGTTTGTCAGAACTTCCTGTCTGACGCAGTAGAGGTCAGCAGGTTTTCCTCTGTCACGGTTTATTTTGTTGTGTTTTCACCGGAATACGTCTTTATTAGTGCTGAGCAGAGCGCTGCGACCCGTTTCTCATTTATCTGAGACCAGAGTTTCAGTTTCTGGGCGTCTGATTCAAATACAGCATAAAGCAGAGAGTACGCTGCGTTTCTGAAAGGAAGAATAAGTTTTTACGCTGCTCTGGATCTTTGTGGCTTCTGTAGCGCAGTTGGTCTTCAAAGCTGTGGTGTAATTTATCCCCGGCGCCTCACGTGAACAGTGTTCCTCTGTTATTTTTATGTGGGAAGGAACTACTTTTTCAGATGTCGTATTATTATGTGCACGAGTCACTTTACCTCAGCTTTTTTCCCCTGTGGGATAAATAACGCCTTTTTTTGGACTGAGGCGAGGCAGGTAAAAGGAGCAGAAACCTTTTTCAAATTTCACTGACAGCGTTTTATTTCCCACTCCCACACTTATTGTTGGTTTTTTAAAACGCTGCATATTGATTATTGATTCCAGCTGTCAGGAGCTGATTTTGAAGGCACCCGAAAGTGGCGACAGTCTTTCAAAAGTGACACCGTAAGAAGTGGAGTGTCTGCCTCGTTTACAGCCGTTTGTCTTGAGGAAATCATTTGAACCGATTCTATTTTGATAAGCAGAAAGCCGTGTAGAAACATTAAGACTTTCAATCTTCTGTCAGAACAGACAGAGGAGGGAACAACCGGCTCACTCTGTCATCACACTTTGCCCCAGGCGGAGCCTTTTATCTATCAAACTTTACCGCACCGGGGGGTCTGTTGCTATTTTTGGGCCTCCAATAATGTTTTTTTCCCTAAATTTTCCTGAAGTTGGTGTTTGTTGCTGAGCGGTTGTAGCCAAAACTCACACAGCTACACACACAGACGGTGATTGGCTCGAGTGGGTTTGTTTGTAGCCTGGGATCGAGGTGTTGGCTTCAACACTGACAGGCTGGGAGAGGAGGGGAGGGGGGACACGGGGGACCAATGAGGGCCTCGCTGAGTTAAATCAGTTCAGTCTGTAGGTGGTAAAACCTGCAGCCACACATTCAATCCACTTCAATCCATCCATCCATTTTCCTCGCCGCGCGGCCAGCTCCGGTCACCGCGAGGCTGGAGCCAATCCCAGCAGGACACCGAGAGGCGAGGACAGTTTATTCAAATGTGCCAGTTCACAACAATAAACACCTCAAGGGGATTTAAATGGTAAAATAAAGGCGTTATAATATTTATTTATTTATTTTTCCAATGTGAAAAAAATGTGATGGTGCCCTTTGAGTAGCATTTGGTGATGGTGGGGAGGAAGAACTCCCCTTAACAGGAACAAAGACTGAGAGGTGGAACAGATAAGAGTAAGACTCAATGATGTTTCAAAATAAAACAGGAAGTGAGTAGATGCAGGTGAGGGAATAAAGCTCAATAGTGTTTCAAAATAAAACAGGAAGTGAGTAGATGCAG